TAGCTCAGATTTTCGTTTTCCCTGAATATTCAGCATATGCTTCAATTTTGCACTGAAATTTCAAGATAACCTATTTTTCCACACTGACCATTTTGTGTGTTGCTGTACAAGTAACACTGACGACTCAGTATAGTGTACCGAGTCACACTGAATCGGACATGATAGGGTATGGGTGTACAGGGGGTGTTTAACACAGGCTTCCTGCAAAAAGAACCGTCGACCCACGCGAGTAGCTCCCGTCAACGGGAATCGAACCTGGACCTGAGGGAGACCCGGATGCACTTGACATCCCTATCCCGCGCTCTTACGCTGAGGCGATCGCGGGTGAGTACTCCTCTCAGTGGCAGACCTCCATGGACGCAGAGATGGCTTCCTGGAAGTCCACAGGCACCTACGACGACGAGTTTCTTCCTCCTGGGGCGAACATAGTCGACCGACGGGTTCCCCGCCTGCCTTCAAAGCGCGTTACGTTGCTCGAGGCTTCAGACAGCGACAGGGGGTCGACTTCTTCCAGCCTTTTCCCCCACCGCAAAGATGACTACTCTTCGGGTGTTGCTGCACGTTGCAGCTGCACTCCCTCGACTTCTTCACAGCTTTCTTGCAGCGCAGCCTTCACGAGGAGATCTGGCTGCGCCGCCCACCTGGCTTCACTGGGTCGTTTCCTGCGGGTACCTAGTGGAGCCTCCGGCGGCCAGTTTACGGACTCCGCCAGGCGCCTCGTGAGTGGCACGACACACTGAGGACGACACTTGCGTCTCTTGGGTTTGTTACTTCCTCTGCTGACCCATCGCTGTTTCTACGCACCGACACTACCCTGCCGCCATTCTACGCTCTCGTGTACATCGATGACTTGGTTTTTGCTACTGCTGGCACGGAGACGCTGGCCCTAATGAAGGCGGAGCTGCAGGAGAGACACACCTGCAGTGATCTGGGTGAGCTGTGGAGCTATCTTGGCTTGAAGATCACCCGGGACAGAGCACGGCGCACCATCACCCTGACTCAGTCACAGATGGTGCACCAGGTCCTTCAGCGCTTCGGCTTCTAGTTCTCCTCGTCACAGCCCACTCCTCTGTCTACCGGCCACTCGCTCTTAGCTCCACGTTCAGATGAGTTCGTAGAGCCGAGTGGTCCATACCCAGAGCTTGTGGGTTGCCTCATGTACCTGATGACGGGCACACGACTTGACCTCGCGTACCCTCTCAGCCTCCTGGCTCGCTACGTGGCTCCCGGTATACAACGAAAGGTGCACTGGGATGCTGCGAAGTGGGTACTGCGTTACTTGCGCAGTACATTAGGCATGGGGCTCGTGCTTGGAGGACGGGGTTCAGTGGTACTCACAAAACACTTCGACGATTCTTGGGCCGATGACCAGGCGACTCATCGTTCGTCACAGGGGTACACCTTCAGTCTTGGCTCTGGTTCTGTATTGTGGAGATCCACTCGTTCTTCTTCTGTGCTTCGTTCTAGCTGTGAGGCCGAGATCTACGCTGGGGACATGGCTGCACAGGAGCTATGCTGGCTGACCTACCTGCTGACCGACTTGGGGCTCCTCCAGTTCTGTACGTCGACAACAAGGCAATGCTTGTTCGAGGCCGAGATCTACGCTGGGGACATGGCGAGCAGAGACTGGAGCACAGGACGAAGCAGATTGCTCTTCGCTACTTCCTTGCACGTGAGCTGCAGCAGCGTCGTCAGCTCCGCCTTTCCTACGTGGCCTCGTGGGCCAACACTGCTGATGTGTTCACCAAGGCCCTAGGGTTTGGTGATCATCAGCGTTTCTGCATTGCTCTTGGGCTTGTGCCCACTCTGCCTCACCTGCTGGTTGCTAAACTTGCTCTTGTTGTACACCGATATAAATATCTTAATACATGCTTGTTTACTCTTGCTAGGTTGTGTTCAATGTACTGCCTTGCTATTTCAACTCTGCATGAAAACTGGCCTTGTGGCCGCTTGCTTGTGCTCAGATTGTGTGGTGTCCTTGAGATCCACCCTGAGCTTTGCTTTGCTTGTTCTCTTGCTTGACTGGTCTTGTGACCGTCTGTTGAGTTTGCTCTCTCCCACTTAGCCTATAGGGGTGTGTCAAACTGTACGTTTGTGTTCTCTCTAGGCTATAGTGGGTTAGCCTACAAGGGGTACAACACTTTAGGGTTAGTACTTTCCCAACTCATTCATAGTTCATTCATTCTTGCACAATTGATTCCAACAAAAATATAGCCAGAAATCAACTTTCGTCACATAAATTAGGACACACGAACGATATAAGTACGTATGTGCAACATACAGTGCTTACACGGAAATGAGGGTCTTGAATGTTTGATATCAACGGAGGGTCCTCAACAGGTAGGACAAAGAAGCATTTGGCCCCCGAATGAAAGACCACTAGGACACTTATATTGGTGGGTCATTTATCCCGGAAAATATGGTATCATGCATTCACATTCACAGCATACAATAGCACTCCCACTTTCAATAAACATCGGAAGTGGGCAAGTGTGTTTCCCCGAGCGGAACAACTGAAAATAAGCCTTTCACGCAGAATATCAGGATGCGAAAGAACAAAACACGATGCTATGCTATGCATATGAGTACAAACAAGGGGGCACACATTACAGGGGGCTAACACACTAATGAGATTGCTACTTGCTGTCAGGCAGCAGCACATCTCCTCCACCATTGGTAGCCAGGACAGCCTATTTTCCATCCTCCCATTCCTCCCCCACCAGCAGAATTACTCCTCTGGGGCGTCCTCTGCATACAGGCAAGAAACAGGGAGAAGCGGGCAAAGCAGGAGGGACGAGGGGGAGCGGGGGAAGGTGGGGCACTTACTGACGTTTGACCCTGATCAACCAGTGGAGAGGAATGCAAGAGAGAGTCTAAAGAGAAAAGACAGGCAGCACTGTAACTGGAGAGAAATACAGAAGAGAGTGTAAAGAGAAGGAGCGGGAGTGTAATGAAGGAGAGAAGCAGCGTACGCACCAGTGGCACAGCGAGCAGACTTCACTGATGAGGCAATCGCCTTCGACCTGCCCACGTGGGAGGGTCACGCAAGGGGGCGCAATGAGGTGCGGCAGTGGGCAAGTCAGGGAGGGGAGGAGTACGTGGGTGGGAGAGTGAGTGTGAGCGAGAATGTGTGTCTGTGTGTGTCCTTCGCACTCCCCCTCGCTGCCCTTGGCCCACTCACCCCTGTGTGCCCAACTCACCCCTGTGTGCCCAGCTCACCCCTGTGTGCCCAACTCACCCCTGTGTGCCCAACTCACCCCTTGCCCTTCACGAGAGTGTCCACGGCCGTTCCCTTGCAGTCCGGCGCAGCAAAGAACTGGATCTCCTTGCATGCCGCCTTCCCCGCCTGCTGCCATGCCACCTGCACCTTCTTCTTCCCGCGCCCCGCCCAGCCCCGAATGGCGACACAGCGGGAGGAGGTGAAGGCAAAGGAGCGCCCCTGCACCTTCATCCTCGTACCCACCACCGCCACTCGGGTGCCACGGGTGCTGCCTTTGCCACGGGTGTTGCCTTTGCCAGGGGTGCTGACATTGCCACGGGTATTGCCTTTGCCACCGGTATTGCCTTTGCCACGGGTATTGCCTTTGCCACGGGTGTTGCCTTTGCCTGGGGTGCTGCCTTTGCCACGGGTGTTGCCTTTGCCTGGGGTGCTGCCTTTGCCACGGATGTTGCCTTTGCCTGGGGTGCTGCCTTTGCCATGGGTGCTGTCTTCGCCAGGGGTGCTGTCTTCGCCGGCGGTGTTCTCATCGCCAGGGTTGTTCTCATCGCCAGAGGTGCTGTCTTCGCCAGGGGTGCTGTCTTCGTCAGGGGTGCTGTCTCCCTCGTTTCCCACCTCCTTCACAGCCTCCCCGCCCGCCTCCTTCACTGCCTCGCCGCCCGCCTCCTTCACTGCCTCGCCGCCCGCCTCCTTCACTGCCTCGCCGCCCGCCTCCTTCACTGCCTCGCCGCCCGCCTCCTTCACTGCCTCGCCGCCCGCCTCCTTCACTGCCTCGCCGCCCGCCTCCTTCACTGCCTCGCCGCCCGCCTCCTTCACTGCCTCGCCGCCCGCCTCCTTCACTGCCTCGCCGCCCGCCTCCTTCACTGCTTCGCCGCCCGCCTCCTTCACTGCCTCGCCGCCCGCCTCCTTCACTGCCTCGCCGCCCGCCTCCTTCACTGCCTCGCCGCCCGCCTCCTTCACTGCCTCGCCGCCCGCCTCCTTCACTGCCTCGCCGCCCGCCTCCGTTGCTTTCTCAGATAGGACATTGCTGGCCGCGTCTGCTGCCTGCTTGTTGCTGTCAGGCAGGACATTGCTGGCCGCGTCTGCTGCCTGCTTGTTGCTGTCAGGCAGGACATTGCTGGCCGCGTCTGCTGCCTGCTTGTTGCTGTCAGGCAGGACATTGCTGGCCGCGTCTGCTGCCTGCTTGTTGCTGTCAGGCAGGACATTGCTGGCCGCGTCGGCTGCCTGCTTGTTGCTGTCAGGCAGGACATTGCTGGCCGCGTCTGCTGCCTGCTTGTTGCTGTCAGGCAGGACATTGCTGGCCGCGTCTGCTGCCTGCTTGTTGCTGTCAGGCAGGACATTGCTGCCCGCGTCTGCTGCCTGCTTGTTGCTGTCAGGCAGGACATTGCTGCCCGCGTCTGCTGCCTGCTTGTTGCTGTCAGGCAGGACATTGCTGGCCGCGTCTGCTGCCTGCTTGTTGCTGTCAGGCAGGACATAGCTGGCCGCGTCTGCTGCCTGCTTGTTGCTGTCAGGCAGGACATTGCTGGCCGCGTCTGCTGCCTGCTTGTTGCTGTCAGGCAGGACATTGCTGGCCGCGTCTGCTGCCTGCTTGTTGCTGTCAGGCAGGACATTGCTGGCCGCGTCTGCTGCCTGCTTGTTGCTGTCAGGCAGGACATTGCTGACCGCGTCTGCTGCCTGCTTGTTGCTGTCAGGCAGGACATTGCTGGCCGCGTCTGCTGCCTGCTTGTTGCTGTCAGGCAGAACATTGCTGGCCGCGTCTGCTGCCTGCTTGTTGCTGTCAGGCAGGACATTGCTGGCCGCGTCTGCTGCCTGCTTGTTGCTGTCAGGCAGGACATTGCTGGTCGCGTCTGCTGCCTGCTTGTTGCTGTCAGGCAGGACATTGCTGGCCGCTTCTGTTGCTTCGTTGGTGCTCGTGTCGACTAATGGATCGCTGCCCATGACTAGGTGAGCTGCGAGGGGGGTACAGAAGAGGAACAAATGAAAAGAGGGTGCGCTTGTTTGCACTTTTGAGAGTGTGCGAGCAGGGGTCTGTGAGTGTGAACTGACTGCCATGGGCTGAAAGCATCAAAGTTGTGGTACTCGCCGCACAGAAGGCTCAAGGCGTGTTGACAAAGACGCATAGCACGGGGGGCACGGAGGGTGCAAGGCGCGTTGACGAAGCATGGAAGGAAAAGAGCCTCTTTTTCTCAGAACAGGAGGGGAAGAAGACGTGTTGACAACACGCGTGGGATGAGAAAAGCAGGAGGCGCAGGGGCAAGGCGTACCGGTGAAGAGCGCGACGAGGAAGATGCGAATCACGACCGTCGCACTCCCCATATTCCGCATCCTCGGTGGAGTCCCCATCAGCCGCGCAGCACGCACGTAAGATCACGGAGAGCGAGGGGAGAGGGCAGTGGAGTGACGTGCTACAAGCGCGCTGACGGTGGGAGAGCAAAAGGAGAGGAGCTTCGTTTGGAAGCTCGGCTTGAAAGCTTCGCCGTTTGAAGGGAAGCGGCTGCGATGGACTCTGCTGCTCATCGCTGCTGCTCTCGTCTCCGTTTATACCTGATCGCCTCTCCAACCTCGCCTCACCCATCACTCGCATCGCGTCACACCCTCCGAACCTCTTGTGGTGCATGGGAAATATCCGAGCCGCCTGAACCACCGCGGTCAAGCAGCGCGACGAACGCTGCGACGAGGCACGCTGCGACGAGGCTTAGTGGAATGGCAGAGGCGATGAGGTGAGTAGCCTTCTCTGCTGCACGCAAGCGTCGCTAGTCTAGCGACGAGGTTGTATGAGCGCTAACAAACGCGTTCCCATGCGCCCGGGAAGGTCGCCATTGGCGTGCGACGATCCCCAGAACATTCGCAATTCGCTACTCGCAGCTACTAGTAGCGGAAAACACTAGGCCGTGGCGAAGAGGATTTTAGATATTGCAAGGAACGCGGTCATGGTTAGTGCGACTCCTCCGTGCGGTACATTCCAGCCCGACTTCTGGTTCCACACACTAGATGGATTCGTTGGCCCCGTTCGCCAGAACGCCTTGTGGATATGGAATGAGATCGGGTTGATCGCAGAGATGCGCATGCGACGATGCGGTCAAACGGAAGGAATAATGGAATGTAAGGTTTGGTGGTTTATTGGTTGGTCAAGTTCTTTCACTGCAATAATGTCTAGGTATTCATTCTGGTGTGGAACGATTTGAGGCGGTTGATTTCATGTCCGACTATAGAAGTTGTTTATCGTACTTACCGCGTCAAACCAGCCTGGTTCGAAGTTGGGTTGACCCCCTGAAAACTATTTGTTTGAACGCGTGTGACCCTTCCAGGAGGTTGATTCGTTTGAAACATGATGTTAGGAGATGTTTGAAACATGATGAGTTATAGTCTCACTTACTGTACTATCTAGCGATTAGAACTATGCTTGAACTGCAATAGATGTGACTTGACAACTGCAGATCAATTACATCGAATAAATTGACTCCCGACACGAGCCCAAACTTGCACCACGTCGGATGTGTTACAATAACAAAATGTTACATAATAATTCAGAAAGTGTTGCAATCCTAAATATGACTTAGCCAAGGATTTGCTCAAGGTTGATCGCAGGTGATTTGTTGCAGCGGAATATATGTTGGAAACAATCGGTCTTAAGCGCCTCTGTCGTGTCGAAACACCAAGACACAAGCGAAGCAAAGTATATCGAGGCACCAGCGAGTCAACCCTCGGAGGTTGAAGCAACCGCTGGAGGTTACGGGGAAGTCAAAGGTCAGCGACCTTTGACCTGACGAATACAGCGCGACAGCAAGGACACACAACTGACTCGCTACAGAGCAGTTGCCCGAGTCGTCACTGTATCGAACCGCAACAACAACAGTAAAGTAGTTACAACCGTACCTCTTCGTATTCCTTGTACTCTTATATAATCTTGTATCTCCTTGTTTTAATCAATCTACTTTGCCCTCACATACTAGCGCAAGGTGGTTCACAATACTTCATTGAAACGCTTCCGCTATTAGATCAGTCCTACTCAGAGTTCATCCCTGCAAAGATCCTAAGGGCTTTTCTCAGCCCAACATGGTATGAGAGCAGTCAGGGAGAATTCAACCTCTACTGAATTACCGACAACATCAACAGACATGGCTACACAAAAGGAAAGGAGCCCCTCCAACGGCTCTCAGGGTACTACTCCTACTCCACCTCCTGCCTCTGGCCTACAGACAGAGGAGGGCACGGCAACAAGACCCAGGGCAACATCCACCGAGACTCCTGCGAATCAACCTGCAGACTTCGACCAGAGCATGATGGAGAAATTCTTCTCCTTCATGTCCTTCTACGAGCAACACCAGCAATCGGCACCTGCGCAGTCACACAACAGCAACAACAACGGGGCAACTCCCATGAGTCTCGACGGCTCATCATACGCACGAGGAAATCAACAGCAGCAGCCTACCTTTGCTCCGTACGAGCGCGGGTCCATCAGCTTTATGCCACACCCGCAGCCTCCACCTGGACAAGAAAAGTCACTGGACGCATTACAAGTTCAGTCGCAGTTCGCGCATGTTCTGAAGATGCAGACATCAAGACCTTTCGATGGAAAGGATTTCTTCACCTGGTCGTTTGAATTCGAGTTAATGATGGAAGGCGCGCAGATACTTGGCTTCTTCGACGGGTCCCTGCCATACCCAACGAACGGCACACAGTATGAGAAGCAGCAGTACACCTATCAGTCGATGATGGCGTACACGATTCTACTGAGGAACATCACCCCAACTCAACAGCAGAATATACGGTCTTACCGGGGTTACGGCAACTCCGCGGAGCTCGCGTACAACCACTTGAAGAGCCTGTATCAAGCAACAGACAGCGTAAATCAAAGTCGGTTAATGGCGCAACTGACAACGGTCGAAATGAAACCAGGCGAGAAAGGAATGGCGTATATCAGCCGATGTCGCGAGTTGCGCGACAAGCTTCTTCGATGCGGGGGGTCGATTTCTGAAGACGCCTTCGTGACAGTCATCATTGGCGGCCTCGGTCCTCAATGGCGCGCCACAAAGGCCATTCTCCGAGCTCACGGAAGAATCTCCGAAGCAGCACTCTGCGCCGAAATCCATGCCGAACAACAAGACATGGACCTGCAAGAAGAACGACACAAGAAGAAGACATCAGCACCGGAATTTGCTTTCCACACTCAGCGACGCTACAACAACAACAAACAACAACAACCGAAGCCCGTACCTCCGTTCTGCCACATCTGCAAGACGTCGGGACACCCGCGCACGCACTGCCCGAATCGACAACAGTCAACGCCTTCACAGCGGCAGCTTCGACCTTCAAGCAATCAAGTTGCCTCAACACAAGCAAATCCTACGACCCAGATTAAAGCCTCAACGACTTCAACAGGACAACCTGCACAAGGAGCAAGGAACATCGTCAGTTGCATGGCAAAATTGACCGATTCCTGCATCACCGAGTCACCGCCACACTACTCACCGGAAGAACAACTCGACAACACCACACCTCGCCGCGAGTCATTTCAACTGAATCCAACGTACGCAGCCATCGCCCAGAGCGAGCCATCCGGGAAAGACACCTGGTTCTTGGACAGTTGCTGCGGACAACACATGTGCTCCTCAGGACGCTTCGTGCAGCAGGAATACCAACTCCAACGCGAAGTAGTCATCACCGTCGCCAACAACCAAAACCTGCGCACACGACGACAAGGAGTGGTTCAACTTCAGTCACGAGAAACAAACGTGATACTACAGATGCCAAAAGTTCTGATAGCAGAAGGACTTGGATATAACTTACTCAGCGTCAGCCAGCTGATGGCGAAGGGCATCCATCTTGAAGCAGACAGCACCACTCAAGAATTCAAGTTGTACCACGGGAGAGGAGGCCTTTACATCGGAAAGGCTGTCCTGAAAAATAATGTCTTCGTTCTTGATTTTGTTCCAGATCTCGGCACAGCAGACAGCGACGGCATCGTCACCTTCACTTCCTGGACCCACCCTCCAGACCTTGATCCAGACTTCAGTCCCGGCGGCTTCTGGTATTCTCACACCATCCCTGAGGCAGAAAGAACAAGGGCATTAGCAACAATTCAACACTCGGCAGCAGCAGAGACAACATCGGCAGCAGCAGAGACAACATCGGCAGCAGCAGAGACAACATCGGCAGCAGCAGAAACAACATCGGCAGCAGCAGAAACAACATCGGCAGCAGCAGAGACAACAGCAGCAGCAGCAGAAACCACATCGGCAGCAGCAGAGACATCAACGGCAGTAGCAGGAACGTCAACACCAATCGTTGGTCCTTCAACAACACCGCTCCCCGTCGACGACACACCACCGACACCCGCGCAACAACTACACCCAGCACCACGAGAAGTTCATCGAAGCGCCAACTTCACCGCCAGCTTCTACTCCAACTCCGACCTGTACCGACGATCACCCGGACATCGCGCCGACGAAAGCACCTGGCACGCAAGGATGGGACACCCAAGCAACACAGTATTAAACAATACGATAAGAGCAGGAGTACTCGACAAGGACTCACTACTACTGACCGATGGAAGAGAACTTCAACGAGTACGTGGAACGTGCTTCACCTGCCCTGAAGCTGACTTACGGCATCGACCGTTCGCGTCTCACCATACCCCAAGCGCACCAGCTTACACACCACTCGAGAAGGTGTACAGCGACATCCTGTACAACCGCGAGCCGGGACAGAACGCGTACAATTACACTATCACGTTCATCGACGCCGCGACACGTTACGTCTGGCACTTGAATCTTCCAAGCAAGGATATGGCGTTCGAAGCGTTCGTCGCCTGGCTCCCTGTAGCGGAAAGAGAATCGGGTGTCAAGCTAAAGATTTTCCAGTCAGATGGAGGAGGAGAATACACCTCACAAAGGTTCAAGCAGTACTTGGCTGAAAGGGGAATCAAGCGGCTCATCTCCCTTCCCTA